AACAGGACGAGGAGAAACGAAGAAAATACGGGGAGCGCAGCGAGGGCTCCCACAACTTGACTGGCCACTTACAAAAGCCCATCCCAGCCGCCCCCCCCCCCACCTCCACGCACAGGGCCCGCACGCCGGGCCAGAACCTTTACGAAAGCACGCCTGGCCCCTCTTTCGAGCCTTCCCATTTATTCAGCAAGTGCATGTGGCCGCGAGGTTCCCTGTGTCCAGGCGAGTCACCGAGGAGGATGGGGGCGCTCAGCTGCGCGCCCAGGCTCCCCAGAAGCCCCGGGTAGCTGCGGCCCAAAGCGGGGGACCCGTGGCTCGCAGGGGGTTGTGGGGGCCTCTGAAATTCGGGCAGGTCGGGGCAGCCGAGCCGCGGACCGTATCCCCCAGCATCTGGAAGCCGCCGCCTGGGCCGCGTGCTCGCCGGGAGTCGTGCGGACGGCCCTGGCGGCCACGCGCGCTCGCGGTGGCCCAGTATCTGCGATGTAGGTCGCGCGTCCCTGGTGGGCTTGACTGCTCGTCCTGCTCTTCTCCGAGGGGCTGGGGCGGCGCGGGAAAGTGGGGCCCGGAGAGGAGCAGGCCACGCACGGGGGAGGGGGCCGGGCACAGGCCTGGGACGCGGGCCTGCGCGCACAGCCGGGGGCCAGAATTGGCCACGACGCTTCTAATTAGGACTTCGGCGCCCGCGGTATCGGGGTCACGTTCCTCTGCCTCTCCTTGAAACCGGTTTATTGCTTTTAAGAACCAGATAAGGAAGACAATCACTCGACCGCCGAGGATTTGGAAACGAGGAAATCCTATCCAGACCAAAGGAGCATCTCCCAGCCGAGTCCTACAAATACAGACCGAGGTGAGCCCTGGGATCCAACTCCCACCCCACGGGGGGGGGGCTGGGACCCCCCAATCGCATCGGGACCTGGGACCCCAGCCGCCCAGTCCTGCAGGAGGACGTTCAGCGGAGCATGAGCAGTGACAGGCTCTCCTCAGCCAGCAGATAAATATTTAAATAGCATGGCCAGGTGCAAGCCAGGTTTCCTGAGTTGTTACCTCCCTGGTGGGTTTGGGGCTCTTCCAGGAAAGGGTAGGGGGTGTCACAAGGAAAGGGAAGGCCACCCTGTCCCCTTGAAACAGGTCAAAGGGCACTTTTTGCCCTGAGTGGCCCATCCTCCCAGGCCCATCCCTTCAAGGATGATGGGGAAGGTAGGTGGCACTGTGTGTCTCCTCTGAGGGAAGGGGGTCTGGGTGGTGCCTGACTTGACACTGTGCCCCGGGAGCTTGCCCTCCCCTCCCAAGCCTTTCCCCACTCCCCCCTTCCCCCTTCCCCCCATTTCCCCATCCCACAGGCTCTGGCTCACCTGTCCTTGTGTCCCAGGCGAAGATGGCCTTACCCTGGATGTCACAGGCACTCAGCTGGTGGAGAAGGACATCGAGAACCTGGCCAGAGGTGAGGTCCAGTCTGCAAAACGGGGGTTTGCTGTGCTAGAGGGGGTGGGCCCTGTCTGCAGAGGGCATAGCCTTGTGAGTGAGTGTAGCAAAGACTTGGCCCTTGGGGGTGTCCTTGCTTAGACAGAGTCATCCCTGGACATACTGTCCTAGCACAGGAGTGAGGGAGTGGGGGGAGGATGACCCAGCCTCCAGAAGTTTATTGGAAGCTGGGGTTCCCAGGGGCCTGGCCCTGTCTGAATAGCCCAGAGAGAGGTGAGTCCTGAGACTCAGAACTTGGCACCTGTGGGCGGACAGGACAGTCTGAGTCTCCCAAACTCAATGGGAAACAGGACATTTTCTGAATAGCACGACTGCAGGGAGGCGTTTATCTGAGGAATGTGTGCGAGCTCATTTCTCCCCCTGGAATGAATGCATTACCACCCTCAGCTCTCCCCCATGAGGTGTGAGGGAAGAGCTTGTTTACAGAATGGAACCCTCAGTGCTGCTGGGCCTTCCAGGGGGAAAGAAGGGCCCAAGGCTCTGGACAGGGCATCCCCACCCCTACATGCCCTCCTCTTCCAGTCCTGTCTCAGAGTAGCTGCCCCAAGAGGGCAGAGGCCAGGGACCCCACTGGCAGGGCACCGCCCCACTCCTCTGGACCAGGCTTCTGAGGGCACTAAGGGGGCTCACCCTGGCCTGTGGGTGGCCCTTTGGAAATCAGTGAGGGAGGGAGACAGGCATGGTGGTCTTCCTGGTTCCAGGATCCCCCAGTCACAGAATATGCCATTACCTCCAAAGTCACTGTGCTTTCAGGAGCCCCTTGGCATGGATCGGGGGTCCGGGGTCCTCCTGAAACTGCAGGCAAATGGCTGTGTGTGTACTTTTCTGGGCAGGGTGGCCAAGGCTTTGACCCGGACTTATGCCGGAGGGAGGGTCTGCCACGTGAGGTGGGATGTCAGGTTTCTAAAGACCGGCCTCTCAGGGGAGGGAGTCAGGAACACCTTAAGGCAGGTGCCAAGCTGGACAGACTGGGGCACCAAGGACAGCGGTGGAATTCTTGTGTCCCCTGAGCATCCTGTCCCTACCTGTCCCTTCACCCATGTCCTTTCACTACAAGGGAAGGCCAGTGTGCTGAGGCCCCCACCCACCATCAGCTTGCCACCTCTCCTCCCAGGGCCGTTGGCCTTTCCGGGTCCCCCCTGACCTCCCACCCCCCACTTCACAGACGAATTGCAGAAGCTGCTCCTTGAGCAGATGGAGCTTCGCAAGAAGCTGGAGCGGGAGTTCCAGAGCCTCAAAGGTGCCTGCCCACCCCGCGGCCGCCCGCCCGCCCCTACGTCCTCGAGGCCACCCGATGGGCACCTGCCACGGGAGCCCTGCAGGAGCTGAGCCCCGGTCCAGGGTTTCCAGCTGGGCGGGCGCGCGGGGGGAGGGGCCCGCACAACTGCGCTCACTTAATCAATTTGCACAGATAATTTTCAGGATCAAATGAAAAGGGAATTGGCTTATCGGGAAGAAATGGTGCAACAGCTGCAAATCGTCAGAGGTAAGACGGGAGTCAGGTGAGCGCGGCCGTAACTGCCTCTGTCTGGCAGGAGCCGCGATGTTGGCTCAGTCATTTGGATTTAAATGGAAGGTAATTTAACAATTATTTTTTTTATTTAATATCCTTTGTATACTCTGATTAGCCTCAGAATGGCAAGCGAGCCCAGCAAACGGCTTGCAGGCATCATTACGTGGAGTGATTGAACTTCTTATCGCGGCAATTTCCATGGTTTCTAAATTAAAAATCGAGGCGTAAAATTACCTGGGAAGTAATGCCCAAGTTCGCTTTAATTTGGGCGAGATCCGTCTGCCTAAAGCGCCACCCGGGCCGCTTCCTCCCCCGCCCGTCCGCACGCGCGGCGCCCGCGCCCTGTACCCGGAGGCGCGAATCGGGGGCCGCCCCAGGGAGAGCAGGGAGACCGGCCTCACCGCCCCCCGCGCCCCCTGTCTTCCAGACACCCTGTGCAACGAGCTGGACCAGGAGCGCAAGGCGCGCTACGCCATCCAGCAGAAACTCAAAGGTGAGGCGGCGGGGCCGAGGCGTGCGGGGGCGGGGTCTCTGTGCCTTCGAACGAACGAATGAATGAACGAATGAATGAACGAAGGAAGGAGCGGATGAACAGAGGGGCCGGGGAGGAGGAAGGCCAGGTTCTATGTGGATCAGAGGCCGGAGAAGGGACGGGGGAACCGAGCTTGACGGGGACACGATGCCGGAACGGTGGGGCGGGAAGAAGCTGCCCCTGAGCTCTGGACGTCAGGAAACCGGCCTTCTAGTTCCAACCGGGCGCAGGCAAGACGCCCCCCACTCTCACCGTGCCTCAGTTTCTCCTTCTGTAAAGTGAGGCCATGGAGCCAGGGCCATGGTTCTGAGTTACCGGCCCTCCCGATTCGCTCCGTGGAGGCCCCCTAACGCCCAAGGGCCGGGGGAGGCGGGCGAGCCGGGCCCCGCGGAGGCGGGCGGGGCGCCCAGTGCGGCCTGGACTCTCTCCGCAGAGGCCCACGACGCCCTGCACCACTTCTCCTGCAAGATGCTGACGCCCCGCCACTGCACCGGCAATTGCTCCTTCAAGCCCCCGCTGCTGCCCTAGGGCCGGCCCCGCCCGCGCGCCCTCAAGCCATGCTGCTCCGTCCCGTTCAGAGCCGCCGCGCGGCGGCCCGAGCGAGGAACAAGCCATGCGGACCCGCCCGTGTACAGACCGCGCCTGCCGCCCTCCCCGCCCCCCCGGGTCCCAGGCCCGCCCCCTCGCCCCGAGGGGTCTGAGGCCCGGCCCCACTGCCGAATGTAAATACCGTCTCGCCCCTGGTGGACTCCGGGGCGTCAGCCCTTAAGGGGTTAACTGGACCGACGGGGGAGGAAGAAGTGGGGGGGACCGCCCTGTGTGCTGCCTCGGATGGACCCGGTTGTGAATACTCTGTAGCGACTTCGCGGCGCCCTTCTTCCCCCCCAACCCCCGCGTCTGAAACTCGTTCCCTGACAAGTGGCGACGTGCAATGGACCCGAGTGACTGCAGGCCCCGCTTGACGGGCCGCCCGCGGGGTCCCCGCCGTGAGTTGTTGAGGTCCTTCTCCCGGACCCCCCTGACCCGTTTTGCTCCCCCTCGGGATTTTGCTTTGTGTGTTTCTGTTGAACCCCTCGATGTAACGGCACTTTAAAAAGGGCGACAACTGACTCACGAGATGGCGACCACCTGCAGCCTGTCTGGGGACACCACCCTGTACCTATGACTTTTGTTTTTAATTAAAAAAAAAAAAATCTGTCACTTGTTGGGGCTGCGGAGGCGGGAGCGCGCCGGGGAGGAGGAAGGGGCAGCGCTGGGAGTGGGGGCTGGAGGGTGAGGGTCGAGGGAGGACCCTGGCAGGAGTCGCCCCTGTTTGGGTCGGCAACGAACCCCCGGCCCTCCACAGCCCCTCGCGTGGGGGACTCTCCCCTGGGACCCGGCTGGAGCGAGGGGGCCCCTGGGCGGGGCGCTCCAAGGGCCGGTGTCCACTCCCGCCGCCCTCGGGCGTTGTCTCCAGGCGCTCAGAGACTGGGCGCCCTGCCCGGAACCCCGGGCTTACCCAAACTCCAGGGGCGCCCCGTGGTTGGAGGCCACGCGGGAACCGGCCGCGGGGAGCTGGAGCTCGGACAGTGCCTCCCGCAGGGGCCTGGCCGCGTGTGCCTGCTCTGCCCACATCGGTCCCAGAGGGCCCATGACGCGTGGGGCCACTGTGGCCGCCAGGCCGGGTCTCGGCGAGCGAGGCCTCCTCTGGCCGCGGGCCTCGCGTCCGCCTCAGTTTCCCCAATGAGTCTGCCGCGTGGGCTGCATACCAAGATGTAAACTGCCGGACGCTTTTCGGCGGGGAGCATAGTGTGGACGAGACCGGAGGGGGCACGACTTTGGGAGTCTCCGGCCCCAGGGCCGGTGTCGCCTCAGAAGCTGGCAGGTCCCTAGCGCGCCCTTTCTTTTCCCCGGGCCTCCATTTCGGCTTTCAGAAAAGAATATTCAGGCCTCTCACCGCGGAGGCTGGGGGTAGCTCTCTGGGAGGGGTGGGAGGCCCAAGCGCCGGGCAGCGGACCGAGGCGAAGACCAGCGCCCCGACGGCTCGCACCGCGCGTCTCGAGGGGCTGCCGCTGGGAGTCTCGTGGCGGGTATTCTGGGGGCCCGGCCGCAGCCGGCGGGTGCGGGGCAGGCGGGAGCCCGCTGCGCTGGAGGGAACTGCGCCGGTCCCCAGAGCGCTCCAGTCTCGGGACATTCCGGGGCTAAACCACGGAGGACGCGAGGGACACAACCGCGGTGAAGGCGCCGAGTGAACTGAGGCGTCGCCCGGAGACGCACCTCCTCTGGGCAGGACCCTCCTAGGAGCGGCGCCCAAGGGGAAACTGAGGTCCAGAGGGGACGTGCTCATCCCGCAGGGTGCGCCGGGGGCAGCGGGGTCTGGAGACGGCCTGCGCCTTCCCACCGCGCGACCCGGCCTCTGGAAGCCGCGTTGTCCCCCTTCCGTAAAAAGAGCCCAGCTGGAACCGGGTGGCGGCCTAACGCGGGATCCCGGCGGATATCCCCTCCCAGCCCTCCTGCCCGGACTCCTCCAGGCTGGAGAAGCGCGCGGGCAGCGGGCCTGTCGCCAGGGGTGCCCCGTCGGGCTGGCATCGCCGCGGACGCGGGTGTAGGCGGATCTGGCCCAGAGGGCTCTCACAAAAGCGCTCCTGGGCTCCGCGAACCTCCGAAGTGGCTTGTTCCCTCCAAAATGTTAATAACCGAACGATTGGTATGGATGTAATTATCAATAATTATACGAATTATTGCTGATTGCGGGACTCGTGGCTGCTTTAATTAGCTTACCAGATTCTAATTAAGTTAAATGAAACATTAATAGCGAAAATATGCTTTGGAAAAAAACCCCAGGATTTTTATAGAAGTTTGTTTCTCGCCACAACGTTGCCACCTTGTGACAGATTTGGGGCATTACAGCGACGCCTGGAGGCCCAGACTAGGGTGCCGGGGCACTCAGAGACACACGTAGCCTGGGAGTCAGAGGACACGGTTGGGCAGGAACATCCTCCGGGCTGTTCTAGGAGGGTTGGCTTGCCCCTCCTCCCACTCCCGCGTTGCCTCCAGGGGTCCTGGTCTAAGGTTCAAGGTCTGTGGGAAAGAGACCAGATAAACATGCCTGTCTCGCAGAGGAACTCTTGGGGACCGTGGTGGGACAGATGCCTGGACGCCACCTGTCTCATCCAGGCAAATGCAGGGTGAGAGAATGAGCAAGCTGGAGACACAGTAAGGACAGCACCAAGGGCTATGAGTCCATCTCCCCTGAAAGAACCCCAAGGAGCCACCTCCCATTTGCATCCCCTCTGCACATCAGGGTGACCTATCCACAGAAACACCTCTCAGATGGCCCCGTCACCTGGACACAGGTGACCTGTCATGAAGCAGAAAGCATACAGCCTTGCTGCCTGCATTTTGGACTTCGATGGGGCTGTAAGCAGGTCGACTCAGGGGTCACACCCTGCTCTCCTGGTGATCCCCCCCAAGGTCCGTAGCACGCCCAACTGCATGGGTCCAGCCTGGTGGTCCATTCTACAGCTGTGAGTGTCTGTGGGAAGGAGACCCGGCACTCGTGGGTGACAGCCATGGAGATATGATTAAGCACACCTGCATCGGATTAGAAACTGGGCTGGCAGCTCAGGAAGGAGACCCCTCACCAACAGGACTGGCTGGGGCAGGAGGCAGGTAAGTGACTCAGCCTGGACTGGGAAAGTGTTCTTCTGGTCCCACCCAGGTCCCGGAGCAGATGCTCCTTCATGCCTGGGTGTGTTGAAAGGTAACCGAGCACACGCCTGTCCCCCAGCCCCAGCTTCCCTTGACCCTCTACAGAAGTGTGACTTCTGCCTTGAAGCCTGAATGCCGACACGTGTGGACCTCTCCTGCAGGTTCTCTCGTTCTCTCTGAACAGCTTCATTGCCCCACAGTCAGTGTCCTGTTGGACTCTGGAGTCGGGTTTACTGATGTCTGGCATCCACTCACTGTGTGACACTGGGCAAGTTGCTGGTCCTCTCTGGGCTTCAACTTCCTCGCCCATACGTGAGGAAGTAACAACAGCTGCTTCTGTCCTGTGCTCGCAGTGAGTTCACACATGTAAAGCACCAAAAACAGCTCCCGGAAGGCAGGCAAGGCACCGTGTTGGTGTGTGATGAGATTATAACTCTGAGTTAATTCCCCTGAGACCCAAGTCAGGAATGCTTTCAAAGAGTCCCCAAATGAGCTGGGTGTGGTGGCTTATGACTGTAATCCCAGCACTTTGGGAGGTGGAGTAAGACGACTGCCTGAGTTCAAGGGTTCGAGACCAGCCTGAGCAACATGGTGAGACCTCCTCTCTACAGTAAATCAAAAAATCAGAGGGGCATGATGGCACATGCTTGTGGTTTCCAGCTGCTTGGAAGGCTGAGGGGGAAGGATCACCCAAGCCCAGCAGGTCGAGGCTGCGGTGGCTGTGAGGGTGCCAGTGCACTCCAGCCTGGGTGACAGAGTGAGACTCCAACTTAAAAAAAAAAAAAAAAAAGAGTCTCCAAATGAACTCCAGTCTGTGGCCCTCTATACCTCCAGAGGTCCAGGAAAGTGGACAAACCCGTGCATTTTCAAGCAAGGACTGCCGAGCTTTCTGGAGACACATTAATGAGAATGAACACGTTCACATAGGAAAAGCTCCTGCACCACCACCCTCCTTGCTGACTGCCTGTGTCCCAAGGGGCGAAGATTTGCCCAAGCCCAGGCAGGCTCTGGGTCTCTAGAACTAGGAAGTGTCTTTTTAAATTCCTGTTCCATGACACATTGCTTTAGAACAACCTGTGGCCAGGCACAGTGGCTCATGCCTGTAATCCCAACACTTTGGGAGACCGAGACAAGAAGGTGGCTTGAGCCCAGGAGTTGGAGACCAACTTGGGCAACATAGCAAGGCCTTGTCTCTACCAAACAAAAAAGAAAAAGAAAAAGAAGTTGGGTTTGGTGGCTCAGCCTGTAATCCGCGCCTTTGGGAGGCTGAGGTGAGTGGATTGCCTGAGCCCGCGGGTTCGAGACCCACCTGGGCAACTTGGCGAGACCTCATCTCTACAATAAATTAAAAATCAGCCGGACGCGGTAGCGCTGTGCCTGTAGTTCCAGCTACTTGGAAGGCTGAGGTGCAAGGATCGCCGGAGCTCAGCAGGTCGAGGCTGTGGTGGCCGGGAGCGTGCCACTGCTCTCCAGCCTGGGCGACAGAGTGAGACTCCAACTCAAAAAAAAGAGTCATGTCCCCTCTGCTGAAGAGGACGGAAAGGGGTGGGGGGGGCACTCCTGAGAGCCCCAGGGTGGGGCTGCACAGCCAGAGGTGATCAAGAGGCGATCAAGACCCACTGCTCAGGGGCTCCCATAGTGCAGGCTGGGCACCGGGGCACATGCATGCCTTCCTTCTGGAAAGATCGCTATTTGAAGAAACATGGCCAAGGTCATCACAGGAAACCCAGATGTTGTCAGTCTGTCCCCCACTTTGCCTAATGGGCTGCGTTTTTGCAGTGTTCTCACCCAGGCCCTGGATGTTTTCGGCCCTGCACCTTTCAAGGTCTCGAGGCCTA